AAAGGAAAGGTTATAAAAAAAACACCTCAATCAATGGAATGGAAGATTTTTTAATGTATTAAAATCAGAGTTCATTGTACATTCTTTAACTTTCATGCTATGCGTGTAGAAATAAAATGGAACGGATGCTTGTGGCACTCCTACACACGTTGCTACACAAGTTATAGCTCAAGCCGTGTCATAAGGAAAGCACATTAAAATACAAAGTAACGATGTTAATGATATTATTAATGCAGACGAGACTTACACACCCCGTTACAGTGTGTATATTAATGTTGTATCATGTGAACAACTGGCACAAAGAGTTTGATAGCTAGACGATGTACAAAATGCATAATACAAACCATTAATACTCCTTGCTGAAGTTACTTACAAAAATGAACAATAATATTTTCATTGATGTAACGTTTCTTCAAAACAGATAAGTTCATTTATAGTGTATTTGGCAAGATAAGTTGCAAATTGACAAAACTCATAAAAATATGTACATATATTTTAATGAAAAATCCTTTTTTAATTATTACAAAGCATATTTCGATAGCATTTCTCGTTTAATAAGAAAGGAAATCATATCCTCTGAAATAGACACATAAATAAAATTGAAGCGTTCGATTCGCTTATTCTATTTTGAGTGTCCATACGAGTATTGTAGAACATTTAGCTTTCGATGCTATTTGTACTCGCGAATGATAAAGTGCATATGCTTGTGCCCGATTAAAACAAACAAATTGATTATCTGTTAGCAATTATCAATAGAGTACTTTACGCTCTTCTGTAAGAAGTTCAATGAGAATTAATAAATTCTGCAGAAGAATTTGAGGAGTGTCAGTTATTGATCTGTATTGAAGCGAAACAGAACTTAATTTTCTATTTATGTCTTTTGGCTACATGGAGAAAGGCAAATATTCTACTCGTTTCGGGTGTCACTAATCGTGAAAGGAGTGCTTTAACATAACTGTCTAATGTATGATAACGATTATAAAATAATAGGTAAACAATGTTCCTAGTGCTTACAAAATGACACTCGTCACGATAACTAGTACCTGTGTTAGTACGGCTTGGTAAAAAGCTGAAGTAACGGTCCCGACAGATATGGCAGGATTTAATAGCGGCTCTAGCTCCATATGGATAGACGTTATAGAGGGAGACGACTCCATGTTGATTTTCTATCGGCGCCGTGACGTGGCCTTTTGTCATTATTTCATATTGATATCTGATATGGAGTGTAGTCTTAAGATAGGTCTAGGACTAAGTTGATAGTTGGTTTGATTAAATTTGACATTTCAAATAAGATTTATTAACATAAATGCCAGAAAGTCATTTCAAAATGAATGTTAATAATGTGAAGCTGTAAACAATACTCTGTCCTTGAATCCTCTTTTGTAATACGGAAAGAGTTATTTACTGTTCAATCTGTAAAAGTTAGTTAAAGTTAACAGAGAAAATGCATTTCATGTCTTATAAGAGGCAGCCTTTTAAAATTTTGATCCGCCATGAAAATCGACGTATCACTTTATTAGTAATACAAGCATAACTTTGATAATGGACCTTGAGCTACATAGAGCTCTGCTAACACTTATAGGATAAAAGCATGATTCTGTGTAAAATGTACGAAAACAAAACCGCCTGGTGCGTCAGTTACCGGAGTAATGAATAATCAAGTCACGTTACTATTTGTTTTAGCAATAAAATGGAACGTTAAAGTCCCAAACTAAAACAGTTGTATTAGTCAGACCACCAAACGATGTGCCATAACTATTGTTTCGGCAATATGTTCTACATAAGAAACATACGTAATTTTATTTTCGGAAACTGTAGTTTACACTAAAGAAGAGAATTTTACGAATGAACACTTGTTTTCTAATGGTGCACGGAATATTGTCTTGGACATTTATTGTGTTAGTTGTATAATAATTTAATCGAATATAAACAAGCATCTGCAAACGGTAAATTCAAATGAAGAACTTCATGTCCTTGTAATAATTCTTAGAATCTATAAAGTGACATTCTCAGCGTTGGGATTGTTTCTATTGTGGTACGTGACTGATCTTTAACAGCGGTTCTTTTGATCAACTATTAATTTATTGAACCATTGATTGATGTTAAGATTCAAACTCATTGTTTCATTCCTCACAATTATAAAGTGATATATAAGATATATAATTGCTTATGCACTGGACATATAACTTATTTCTTGAATTTACGTCTGTATATCCTGTGTCTACTACAATGTATATTTCCGGTGTAACTATGAAAACTGTTTTGATGAATTTTTGATGATGAAATTTAATTAAAAGTATAGTGAGGTAATTGTATCGAATGAAACCTTGTCTATATAACACCCGCGTGACATCATATTAAAATAGAAAGTATAGATAGCGCAAAAGGTAAGAGATAATTTATTTATTAATAATTAAAATATTTATGAATAATCCCCAAAATATTTATGAATAAGTTAAACTAATTTTATAACTTTTAATTAGTCAATTTATTGCATGTAGTTTTAGAAAAGAATCAATTTATATGTTTATATTGAGGTTTATGGAAAAAAACCATTTACTTTGTTTAACGTGATCAAAAACAGTAAGGATTTTTTTTTTAAACATAACCAAAAGTAATAATGAAATGCAAGACATTAGATATATTTATTGTTAGTAAAATTGAGTTTACTTATTTTGAAAACCATAACAGCACAAGTAATGGCAAAACTTAACAATAACATTCGAAACCAACTAAAACATAACAAAAATGATGAGTGATCTCAACAGAACCCAATTCAATAAGTGTACAACTAGTGTTTACTTGTTAACGGTACTTATTTTTGAACGCTATTACGTCATGAAAATGGTGGCCAGGCGCATTAGCAATTTGTGGGGATTATGTGATGTTGAATAATGTAAAATATTGATAATTTACAGAGTTTATAGTAGCACTTTTTTAAATTTGATCGGACATAAGCAATGTAATATTACTTACTCACTATCAAAAGTTTAACATTAATAATGTATTTGTTACGATGAAATCCCTTAACCTGCTATTACTGAATGCTTGATACTTTCATTCTGATCTCTATTAAGGAATCTATACTTAATATTTAAATGCTATACATTATGTATATTCAATATACTATCATCGAGACAACTAAATTCAGCATATAAATGTGACACATAATTTATAAATTTACAGAACTTTCTAATTAAACCTTAAAAGGTATCGAGACGACATTCGAGACAAGCAATTTGATCGTAACTGGCGCCAGGTCAACATCATTCAGTGGTTTATTTTATCAAAGCCGATATACATCAAGTCTTGAACATTATGCATAATTTATGTGACAGTATTTTTTTTTATAAATCTAAATCGTTAGTGTATATGTATTTTACAGATTTAGCATATGATTACGAATCTTACCTACACGTTTCTATAACTCGCGAACTATATAGAACGTCATTAATTCTCCTCTCGTATCTTTGTATTATTTACTTAAGTCTAGGATTTTAAGACACGAATATTTTGTAAATAATCACATTAGCACTACTAAACTTTTAAAATAGAAGCAGAAATATGTTTCATCTCCAATATTATATCGATTAAAATGAATCATTCAGATCATTGAACTCATTCCAAAAAAGGATTCGTTTGCAAATAAATGGGCTTTGATTCTGATGAATGGAAGCTATCACTGAGGGTCAGATATAACTCAAGTAGAAACGTGTCGTTGCAAAGAGGCAATAGCCCTGACATAAGTCACCAAATGTAGCAGCCTGCCAACCTTGTCTTTCTATCTGTATGACTAACACTCTATATGTGCATAGCCCTGACTATATAGTGTAGTTAAACTCGTAGAGATTGGATTGTATGAATTATTATCGGATTTGATAATATTTTCAGATATCATTTCTTTCAATATAACTTTATTTGGATTAAGAGTAAGTAACGTATTGACAAATTAATGTTCATAATTTAATAACCATATTACAACAACATTGTCATATTCATTATTCAAGTTGATATGTGTTATAGATAACTTGTCGTCTCATATACAATGAATACATTTTGGATATATGAGACAGTAACTGGGCATTTAATAAATACTTTTGAATTTTAAACAAATTATGCGCATTAGTTAAAAAACAGACAATTTATCATAGCAGTTTCCCGAGTTCTAAATGCTAGGGACGTCTTAAGAATGATTGATATAAAACTATAGTGTTTGCACATAATCACAACACTTTCATGTGTCGAGTTGACTCTTGACAGTTGAATTATTAATGAGCAGACAATTATTTCACATGTGTACTCACAGAAAGTTCTTAATCACATCTTCAGAAATGGTTTATGAATGGTACCGAGTTGTTTTATGAATGATTGGGTACAATAGGGATGATGACTGGGTAAAAAAAATGCAATTCTATTTAGTCCGTCAGTCAGATAATAGAAAAATATTAGATACGTAATTTTTTTTACTTCAATTTAACAAGAAATAGCTTAGATAACAGGCATTAAAATTGAGGAGTGGGGGCTCGCTACGTCACAGTTGAGTAGAAAACGTACCCTGACGTGACGTCATGCGAAATTTCAACTCAATGTAACGCCGTAATTTTATGATTACGAAAAAAATAAAAAATACGTGTTTAATATTTTTTAACACTCTACCTGACGAACAAACAAACAAAAATCAGTCATCATCCCTATTTTATAATATTACAATTTTAAGATAACAAAATTTGACATTTTAACGCTTGGATAGCCATTTAGATGACTTAATTCGATGAAGTCATCAAAATATACATCATTTTACACGCCTTTATTAATAGATAGACCCATAACAAATTATACGCATAGCACATTAATTCAAGTTTATTTAATTTAATTATATTGCATGTAGATTTCGATTGAAAATTTTTGGTTAAATAAAAAAGGTTTTGATAAATTTTCTTTGGCGATTTCATGGCGATGATGGTAAATTAAAAGAATCAAAGATATCAGTTAAAACTTACATCGGGGTGTTCTTTTACTGGCACGTATACTTTTTCTGTGAGTGTGGTGACCATGCCTTCTGGTTCTGGCAACACGAGTGGTTCTTTCTTGACTCCATTTATTTGGAATAAACTCGCTCGGACTTTTGCAATCTCTGTAAAGTAAAAACAAAAAAATCAGTTATGTCACAAATTCAAGAGATGAAGATGATGATTAAAAGTCTCTTTATAGGTGAATATAAAACATGAATATAGCAGAATTTGTAAAGACAAAAAAAAGATATAAAAATGACAATTGTAAAAAAGTATATTGCCGATAGAAATTATCTTTGAACACGATTAAAATATATTTCTAGCAAGTCTTTCCTTGAAATATAATATGATGAGGACCACATATTGTTGAGTAATATTTTTCTATGATCTATGTTATACCACAGCCTTTGGGCAGTGTATTCAAGGTAGTCATGACATTATAACAGCGACTTCTTATTGGCAGATTATGAGTTACACCTTTAATGATACAATACTCTGTCATCCGATGGCCTCCCGACTTAAGTTGATGCAATATGAATACTCTATATCCGCGTGACTGAATGTTCCAAGATTAATATTGAGGCTTTATCGTGAATCGAGAAACAAAACAGGATTGTAAGGAAACGATACTGAGACATGGATTGATGATATTTCAAGCAGACTGGATTTATATTACAGACACGTCGCACTGATACAATATGTCTCGCAATATCTGACATATTATAGAATTCTTTTGTACTGATATCATTAAATATGCATTTTTTAAAGAAATTTCTTGTATTATTGAGACTAATAAAATAAAAATGGCTAGAATTTAAGTAGTTAATAACGTATGAGCAAAAGCTGCTCAATGCGTATTTAAATCGACGTCTAAAACCAAATTTAACTGACGGCATCTTTGATATCCCCTTGCAAATGAAGAATTGCTAAACAAACTAGGGGTCTGGTTTTATCACCCGCATCTAGATAAAGATACGATGACTCATTGACTAATATCCGGACTACGTAATCAGACGACCATCTGTTTTTATAGCATGTACAAAAATGTCTCAACACGAAAACCATATCTCTGGTATACGGCGTTAAGAGGCTGAGGACACTGAATGATTTTTAGAAATCGACACGCCCCCTTACATAATTACAGGTGTCTACGCTAGTGTGGGTTAGCTCATTGCACATTCCTCAGAAGAATAACAAATGCCTATCGGTTCAGCGCCAGCAGATAAACTTTGTACTAATAACAATGACGTTTTATAACCATCAAGTGCTTTGAGTTAGCTGTCTAAAGTGCTTACACAATAGGTGGCGCTGAATTTTTTTAAAAGAAAGGAATAATTTCTTTTTACTCCAGATTTTTATGGGGCTTAAAAAGGACAAGTATGTTTTTTCTTTTTGGGTCGACAAAATAACATGCTATTATTTTATCTGTTTCATATTTCAGAATTTTATTCTAATTCATTGATATTTTAAAAAATGCTTTGCATTGAATAATGAAAAGATTTAAAATTTAAAGAAATATGAAATAACTATATAAAATCACTTATGATACCACACATCACATCACATTTCTTCACTCGATTTTAAACCTTAATGTAGTGAAGGTAGAGTTAAAATAATTGCGATAATTTGATAGACTGTAGTAACCTGACTTGCTGCTGTGTGTACCTGATAATGTCGGCCAATCAGAATAAACCAAATATGACGTCATGGCACCTAATCCCCGCCGAGTTTGACTGAGACGGACTTTCATACCTTATTCTCATTACAAGAAGAGTCATTATACGTTTTAATTGTACGAATTTTCGGTAGGTCGGCTTTACGTAAACGAATATTCACCATATGCAATATTAATTGGAAGTCATTGTAGTAAGTACACATATCCATATCGAACTTTCCGGAGGAGGAGAAAAAAGCAATTTTAGAATCGTTTTTATGAGAATATAGGGTAGACGCGCCTGTTTCTACCATTGTCTTGCTGTCGAACATTTCATGGCCCTTTTAAAAATAATTAATGCTTTAAGAATTGGACTCTACCTGATCTTTGGACTGGAGTTAATAAAACATATCCTGTTTTCATAACTTGAAGAAAAGTTATTTTTTCCTCTAGCCATGATCCTTTTATGGAGGTGGAATGATATTTTGTAATACTGACGCATCATCAAAGTATAGGACTGGTTGACCGGTTAGGATAAAACCATTAAAACACAATCATTTTATTAATCCCATAAATATAGATGATTTCAAAGTTGCCGTCATACATTTTTCAAAAACAATATCTTAAAAGTCTATCCATATTTTAAATAGTACATTAAGGATAAAGAGCTTGTAGGGAAGGCAAAGTCATCCAAAAACACTCTTTTTATGAACTCCGAAATAATCATAATACTGCAATTATTAAATGAAAATTCACTAAAGTTTTTACAGATAAACTTATCATTGGCTTAGATTGTTTTTGTCATGGAAAATGTATTTTATTCTAAAAGAAAATTGTTTTCGATTTATAAAAAAATATATTCTTGCATAACATTGTAGCTGTAATTAAAAATATAGAGAAAAACTGTTTTAAGTAAGAATCCCTATATACTAACATACAGTTAATAAATACATCGAAGTGCCTAAGGATTATGGGATATATGATAGCAAGACTATACTAGCTGATTTTCATAACAAATAAGAATCATAATTATTGCCTTAACTTAAAAAATACTGAAGCCGTAATTTTCACGTCATTGTGTTGATTTGTAAAATGTCCACACCGTTACCCAGCAATAAGTATAACTGTGTCATAAACAATGTTTAGTTTTATTTATAAATCCATTTTATAAATCCATTTTCTAATTGGGTTGTATAAGGATGTGCGTTATTTCTGTTACACGTTTTATACTTATAACAAATCTGCAAAAAAATAATGTCTGTACATTGAATATATTTACAAAAAAAGAAAGAAATTGAGGGTGGTTAATAAACAATAATAGAATACGAATTTAAAAAATATTGTCTGTTTATCTGTATGTACACGTTAATTTTCGGGACTACTGAGTATATTTGTATGAAACTTATTTTGTTAATACCTGGGCAATATATGGGGTATAATTAATTTTGGAAACTTAAACGTTTGATGCACAACCACAACAGACCAGCGACACCTTAAGAAAATTTTTTCTGCCTGATCAATATATTCTGCTAAGCGTACAAAAGTCAAAGATCCAGAACATATAATGTGGTCCTCAAAGATACTAGTTATACTATAACATCGGATAAATATGACTTCTTAACAATAAATATTTTTTTTATTTATTGACATTTTTTGCACAAATACACATTGGCGTACTTAATGCCATGGCCATTTTCTACCAGTAAACCTTAGGATGATTTGGACACGGGGTTCTCTCTATTGTTGTACAGGGCAAGTTCGTGACCTTGTTGCGTACAACAAAACGCGGGAAAGGGAAAGATCTATGGTTAGCGATACGTATCGTTGTCTTTCAACGATCATGTAAATACTAAGGTTTATTGTCCGTTTTTTCGTCTACTCTAGAAACAGACAATGCAATGTGTCAAAAAGCTCTGATAAGATAATTTGGATTTAGTTTTAAATATATTAAAATTAATTTTGTACATAATAAGACGGCAATATCATTATCCTAATTTTATATAAAAATACATAAATCATAAAGTAATTAATGATTAAATAAATTTGCTTGTTCCAAACAATGAAACATTTGCTATAGAATAACTTGTTTTTAGAAGCTAATTTATTATTTATTGATAATTCTTGTAGACACAAGTAGAATGGAAATTCATCCCACAAAGGAATAGATTTGACGAAGAACGAAGAGTGAACGATTTCGGAGAAATTAGATGGGCAGAGTAGACGATTAGAGGAGGAACAAAGAGTTTTGGTGTGAAAGGTACGTAAGTACAGTTAAGATAAGAAAGAGTGTTTGGAGATTTCAGCAGAGAGGATAACGTAGTTAAAGCACGCATACTTCTTCGCTTCCGGATGGACGTCCATTTTGAATTTTAACGATATAGGGACACATGATCAAATTTTCTAAGAATAAAAACGGATAGAATCTTCGGTCTCTAGAATCCAGTTAAGTCAGTGAAAAACTGACCATCCTCATACATTGCCAAAAATCTTTAGATCTACCAGAAAATGAGATAGAAACAATTTCTGAAGTACGCAAAGATATAAAAACAGCGCAGTAAACCACGGAATTCTGATCGACTTTGATATGGTGTTGAGAGAATAAAAGTTGCTGGTGTGGAACTGAAAATTACCTGTTTTTCTAATGCCCAACTTTGCCTTGTTGTTTTAAGGGTTAGCAACGTCTCTGGGCTCTATATTTTGGCACCCGAATAAAAAAAAACACCAATAAAGTTTATAAATTTCATCTTAAATATTATTGTTAATCATATATACCGTTGGTACCGTCAGCAGACTGTAGAATTTTGGTACAAAAAGAATTCTACCTTTACAGGTTCATTAAGTTATAACCTACTCAATCCACAACATACAATTTAAGCTTACAAAATCTTTGGTATGAGACAACACGAACGAAGATGCGGGCACCAGCTAGTGGCAAATAATATAACGGTGTAATGAATCTTTACAAGTATTTTGGCCAAACATAACCTCAGTAAAAAGTTATACGACCAAATGAAACAATAACAAAAACTTACTATATCCCAACCTTTCATCTTATTTGAGGTTGTTCTAGATATTTATTGAGCAACACATTGTTTGAATCGTTGCCTCTATAGAATAAAATTTATGAATTTCGTTGGGATCGCCAGTTTAAAGCTGCTTTCTTTATGCAGATGATACCTACCATAGTGCTTACATAGAATCCATTCAATCTGCAAATGAAGCGATAGTCATGGAGCAAGATTATGAGTGATGAAAGGCTTAAAATTCAACGTGAATAACACATAAGATATTAAACCAATGTACTACTTTGAGAATAGAACTATTCACACCGTCATTAACTGGTCGTCCTCTTTTAATTTTAAATAAGAGTGAAGTTATACTTCACGGAATTGTCACTGTAAACAAATTTATTTCGTGATTATCCTTTACCAAAGGAGGCAATTTGTCTATATAAATTAAAAAAGAAGC